CTTTTGGTTTCTCTCCCCCACTTTGTTCTCTCATCTCTAGCTTCCTTGAGAATCGATCCATGGCAGTTGTTGTCGAGGGATCGATTTCTCACTCTTTCTCTACCAATAGGCATCCCACAGGGTTCTGTTCTTTCACCAACTCTCTTTCTTCTTTTTATCAATGATTTACTTCACACTACAACTAATTCTATCCATTCTTATGCCGATAATTCTACTCTTCACTCTTCCTCACATTTTCCCCTTCCTCCTAACTCTCAAACTAGATCTGTTTCTAGAACTGATATCATTACTTCTATCAACGTGGATCTGTGCAGCATCTCTGAATGGGGAGATACAAACTTGGTTAAGTTCAATAGTAACAAAACTCAATATTTACCAATTACACTTTGTAAAGTAGACGATCTCCCACCAATTACATTTCAGGACGCTATCATCCCCCCAAATTCTGAAATAAATATGTTAGGCCTCACCATTTCCTCCAATATGTCCTGGAAATCACACATCCTTAGTATAACTAAAGCTGCCTCCCGAAAGTTGAGAATGCTGTACAGATGCCGCAGCTACTTCACTCCTGAGCAGTTGCTCCAAGTATATAAGGGATTCATTCGTCCTAACTTGGAGTACTGCTCTCATATCTGGGGTGGCTCTTCTTCTGTCCAACTATTAGATAGGGTGGAATCAAAGGCATTTCGTCTTATTAACTCTCCTCCTTTAGTCGACAATCTCTCTCCCCTTTCTTTCCTCACACAGCCAAACTGTGGAATGCTTTGCCTTCTTCTGTGTTTCCATGCTCTTACAATCTGTCTCACTTTAAAAAGCTGGTTTTCCGGCATCTTCGTGGTGTAGATTAATACAGTATAACCTTTTTTACTATATTTTCAATTTCTTTCCGTTCTTTTTTTTCACCCCCCAGGCTCCGTTGTGGGTCGTTTGACCTGTGCCCGGGTTGGCTAGTTCCCGTAAAAAAAAAAAAAAAATCTGTCATTTAAAATATAAAGTCCTGTATCTCACGTAGTCATTAGCTTTTTGGAATTATTTTTTTTATATACTTTATGCTATGTTTCTATATATCAACATATCCAATAATCAATTCAGTATTGCATCAAACTATCTATCGATAGATAGATGAAGTTCTGACTGACAGTCGTCGGTAGTCCTGTCCCCTGTGAGGATATGCAGTGAACCCTTCAGGGCAATTGAGAGCGTACTTTTCAATAACAAAAGAAGCTTTCGTGTCTTTATTTACTTAGGAATTTATCTATATATGTATATATATATATAAATATTTATTGACAGAGATGTACTCATCAAAAAAGATCTCTTAAATAATCAAACAATCAAGTAATCAATTGATTTATCGAGAAATGAATATCTTTATTAATCAATTTTGATAACTATATATCTAAAAGGATGTGTGTAAATATTTGTTTATGTATCTATCAATCTTCATATATATATATATATATATATATATATATATATATATATATATATATATATATATATATATATATATATATATATATATATATATATATATATATATATATATATATATATATATATACAGTTCAACCCTCACTTTACGCGGTTAATGTAACCCACAGGGTACCGCGGAAAGTGAGAAACGCGTAAAGTGAATAACATAACATATGGGATTAAATGAAATAGGGACCAGCTGACCCCCAAACTCCACTTTTTCCAACACAATACCTATGTTCTAGTAAAAATAACATCTTAATTTTATGATGGTACATGCACACAATTAATACTTAAGAGAAATAGAGAAATACAGTCGCCAAGTTAATGTCCATTCAAATAATGGACACGACTCCCTCCCCCTCTTCTCACACTACACTGCTGGCTCTTCCCTCTGAGAAATTTTGGGGGGAAAACCAGGTATAGTAATAAATAATACCTCAAACTAAAGTTAGGATAATATAATTGACATTGCTGGATTCCTTGTAAGACCAGGAATATTTTGAATATAAATGTCATATATTTTTCACAAAAGATAACATATTTACTCAGATTAAACATTATATCTAAAATTTGTATGTCTAATGCAAAATCTATGATGTTTATATTCAAAATGATCACCAAATTGTAAGAATTCCAGCAATGTAAATTATATTCTGGCCGGGTAATTTGTATGAATTTTATGAGCTAAAACAAATATCTTCAGTTAATAAAAAAAATATATATTCTTCACGACACTATCTGTCAATCAAAGTACCCCACCTTGCCTCCACCCCTCTTCCAACCATGCGGTCAGTCCCAACCCTCCCCCCCCACCCCCCACCACTCCTCCCTTCAAGAGGAGATGGGTGAAAAAAATAAATTTTAACATTTTGTATTAAATAATACCTCAGATTAAAGTTAGGATAATATAATTGACATTGCTGGATTCCTTGTAAGACCAGGAATATTTTGAATATAAACGTCATATATTTTGCACAAAAGATAACATACTTACTCAGAGTGAACATTATATCTAAAAATCTTATGTCTAATGCAAAATCTATGATGTTTATATTCAAAATGATCATCAAATTGTAAGAATTCCAGCAATGTAAATTATATTCTGGCCGGATAATTTGTATGAATTTTATGAGCTAAAATAAAAATCTTCAGTTAATAAAAAAAAAAATATTCTACACACGGTAACAGATGGTTGGTCGCCGGTCCCTCCCTCCCTCCCCCCACCAACGTCCCTACTAGATAAATGTGTGGGAATACCAGACTGTTTACCTTTTTAGTAATAAATAATAAATCAGACTAAAGTTAGGATAATATAATTGACATTGCTGGATTCCTTGTAAGACCAGGAATATTTTGAATATAAATATCATATATTTTGCACAAAAGATAACATATTTACTCAAGAGTAAACATTATATCTAAAATTTGTATGTCTAACGCAAAATCTATGATGTTTATATTCAAAATGATCATTAAATTGTAAGAATTCCAGCAACGTAAATTATATTCTGGCCGGATAATTTGTATGAATTTTATGAGCTAAATTAAAAAAATTATACTTCACTTGTGTAAAGGGGTACACCCACCGCGGAATGTGAGCATCCTGGGTTCTGGCAGGGCACCACGTAAACGTGGAAACGCGGAATGTGGGACCGCGTAAAGTGAGGGTTGACTGTATATATATATATATACAGGTAGTTCTGCTATAATGCGATAATTGTGTTCTTGTAAAATATCGTGTTATAGAAAATCGCGTAATAGAAATAACAGGGTTTATGGAGAAAATAGGGTTAGGTGCAGATTACTCGAAATCGAAAAAATTTAGTAGTTAGCCTAACACAAAGGATAGCACAGTCTAAATAAATGTTACATTCATATCTAATAATGAAATCATACAGTAAATTTAACACTTTACCTTGAAAAAATATGAATGTAACTTGATGGGGGAGAAGGGTGATTTTGAGGTTGATAACATCGAGCTTCTCTTCAAGTGTTATATCCTTTCTTTTACGATAATCACCGGGAATTCTATCATCAGAACGCTTTTTGGAGATATTCTTCTTTACCATATTCACAGTTAATACCACAAAATTGGAGAAATAGTAAGCAAAAATCGCGTTATAGCAAACAAGCGATCGCGTTATACAAATATTGTTCCGAATTCATAAATCGCGTTAGAGCAAATTCGCGTTATCAAAACACGCGTTATAGCAGAACTCACTGTATATATATATATATATATATATATATATATATATATATATATATATATATATATATATATATATATATATATATATATATATATATATATATATATATATATATATATATATATATATATATATATATATATATATATATATATATATTTCATTAGCCCAATAAACACGCGGACTTCTACATGCACTCAACACCTCAACTCACCAGGATTCGAACCCACGGCTCACGACTGTGCCCGTTGAACAGGCTTTGTGTGAAATATAACAGAGTCTACAACAGCTTTTAGTATCATGGTGGTCCAGTGGTTAGCGTTCACTGGTCACAGTCATAGGCTCGTGGGTTCGAATCCTGCAGGTTGAGGTGATATATATATATATATATATATATATATATATATATATATATATATATATATATATATATATATATTTTTTTTTTTTTTTTTTTGGATCTGTTTATAATTCTTGTCTCTTTTGGTTTTTATTTTTTCCTTTTTCTTTTGATTTCTTTATTGAAATATTTATTTAGTTTAATTTTATTGTTTTTACTTTTATATATTATTTGTTTATACAGTATTTCTTTTTTTCAATTTCTTTTTATTTCAAAATTCAAATATTAATTTAGTGTAATTTCATTTTGTTATAATTTTTTATATTATTATTCTTTGCATTTTATTCATTTAAACCTTTTTTATTTGTCTTTAATTTATGTATTTTTTTTTAAACACACACGCATAAATACGTTTTTTACAAAGCTTCTTTTGTTATTGCAAGAGACGCTCTCAAGTGTCGGGAAGGGTCCACTGTATATCCTCACAGGGGACAGGACTACCGACGACTGTCTGTCAGAACTTCATCTATCTATCGATAGATAGTTTGATGCAATACTGAATTGATTATTGGATATGTTGATATATAAACACAGCATAAAATATATAACAAAATAATTACAAAAAGTTTATGACTACGTGAGATACAGGACTTTATATTTTAAATGACAGGTTAATCACTAACTCTCACCCAAATTGTTCTCTGAAATTGTTCTTCAAAATTGTTGTCAAGAAATGTACTTCATACATGTTCTTCAAAATTATTTAAAAAAAATGTTCTTCAAAGTAGTTAACATGTTTAACAATATTTTTCCTCCTGGGATAAAATGTCAAATCTTGATGAGTAATTTTATTTATTTAAATCTTCACTTCAATTACCGGTCAGCTTACTATCCATTCAGGTGGTCTGTCTGTTCTTTGTTACAACCTTCACTATGTTTGAGGACAATCATGAAATTACAGAAAATAAGAGAAGAATGTACATTTATTGCTAACAAGCTCAGTACAAAAAAATATTAAAAAATACAAAACATCTGACCACTTTACAAGTTATTTACACTCTGAGAAACACTCACTTAAACACTATGCTACTATAGTGGAGGTGTGGAGAAATTTTCACTGCATTGTACGGGCATGGATAATTGATAATCCACCTGGTAACACTTTAAATGTAACTTTGTGGTGGAGACTTATAAGCATCACTGGGCAATAGCGCAAGACACTGGAGGAACACCGAAACCAAGAGGGCAGCACCAAGGGCAATACTGTAAGACACCAGGGAAAATACTGCAACAAGACATCGGGGGCAAAAGAGCAGCACCGGGGGCAATACTGAAACAAGACACCGAGGGTAATATAATAGTTCCCAAGTTAAATTTAATTGATCTAAGGTCAATAGAATACTAGTTCCAAAGTTAATTAGGTCTAGGTACTTTACAATAGCTTTTTCTCCTCACTGTAAGGAACTATAATAAAAGAAACGGACCTTCCTTAGCACTAAACACCAGAGATTTCAAACAAAGAAGAACTTCTGTGTCTCCTGGAGTAAGCGTGCAATATGAGCCTTGCCTGGACACTTCATTGCATTAGGATCATCTAACACAATATTTCTACCTGCATCATATACAACACCTGCCTCTGCAATAATTCTAGTTAGTGTGGCAGGGTCAGGGATAGTGTTGCACTTCTTGTTGGAAGACCTGTTCATGATTCTGCTACTACATTTAGGGAGCTGCCATTGAGGGTCATCTCGCAGGTAAAACGGTTCTGCTTCACGGAGGAACTGCGCTTCCACCTCAAGTCTCTGTAAGTCACTTGGACTGATGTCAGCTTCTTCCATTTCCTTTTGTACACTGTAGGAGAGGTACATGAGTTAACAGTGACAGTACCACTGAACACATCAACTAGAAGTTTAGTTTTATGTGGGTTAGTCAATCATGATCACCTGATGGCATGGTGTCCCGGTTGTTCTTCCTCTCTCCCCACCTGTTATATCCCCTGTTACAGTATGATGGAAAGAGTCTTGCAAGATTGGAAAAAAGCCAGATAGACCCAATAACATGAGTCTTTTGGTTGGACAGCTTCAACGAAAGCTATCAAGTAATTGACGCACTTGCTTCTCACCACTGTAATCGTAGGTTCAAATTCCCAGGTCAGATGTCCGGTTTTCTTTCTCTTAGTTAGTACTCGTACAGTTTCCTCCTGTACTAACACTGGACTATGAGGGTCATACCAAAGAACAGACTGACCAACAAAATGGATAGTAAGCTGATGATAACTGGTGGAAATGATAGTGAAATTGTGATGCATGGATGAAGGGGGCAGACACCTCAAAGACAAAGGAAGCACTTAGGACAATGTTGCAAAACAAGTGCAGAAAGTAACGGAACAAAACTGGAACAGACAAGTACCCCACAAACACATACATAAGAGAGATATCATTTCAATCTATACATCCCTTCTACATCTGTAACTCATTTACAATACACACCTGTAACTCATCTATGATACACACTTGTAACTCATCTACAATACACACCTGTAACTCATCTACAATACACATCTACAATACACACCTGTAACTCATCTACAATACATACCTGTAAATCATCTACAATACACACCCGTAACTCATCTACAATACACATCTACAACTCATCTAGAATACACACCTGTAACTCATCTACAATACATACCTGTAAATCATCTACAATACACACCTGTAACTCATCTACAATACACACCTGTAACTCATCTACAATACATACCTGTAACTCATCATTTCCTGCATCTGGAGAATTACAGAAGGTACTCGCGAGAAGTCCACATCTCTCAGCAAGGTCACCCCGGGGTAGATGCTCCTTATCTGAGAGACGGATGGCCTATGGGACACAGACCGTGCCACCTGCAACAAACACAACGAAATGAGACACTTTCCACATGTATATTAAATGACTTTTAACACTGTATCCCTGCGTATTGTAAGGCTGGGCTAAATACTGTACACTCATTCTTATTCAAAGGCTTTATTACCAAAGAACTAAAAACAATGAACACATATGAAATTCGATATGTTACATCTATGGTAACTTAATGTTCACTGTATGTTCAATCTACTATCCAGCATGTGTTCTAGATATCAAAATGTTCTCCATGTTCTTCAATACCTGCAAGTACTCTCTCTCTCTCTCTCTCTCTCTCTCTCATCATTAATAATTCCCTGTCAAACAAGATACCCAGCTGACTGGAAGACCTCATATGTGTTAACAGTGCATTCTATAAGGTCAGACTAACCCATCACCAACAAGTACCTTCCATTTAGCAACATGTTTTCTACTCATTCATGTGTATTACTGCTTCACCCCCCATTTACACTTCCCATCATTCAAAAATAAAATCCTTTAATATTTTCTAGAACATTATATTCCAAACCATAATATTCTTTAAAATTTTTGCATCAAAGCTGCATTAAATTGTAGTTTCACCTTAGGCGGCCGAATACCATGTGGCTGACATCCCGCTGGGGTGATGGTGACCTGAGTGTTGGTGGTGGAGGTTACCAAACAGATGTCTATTGGTCCTCCTCCTCCTCCCTGTTGAATTATGATTTTTGTCATTCAGTAAATAAAAAAAGTGAAATAAAATTGCTGTCGGCTTTTTCTAATGTTAAATATTACTTAGATGTTACACTGCATCCTCTATTAACTCCAAGATACATGTTACTTTTATGGAATTCTTTCAACTGTAGGCCTCAAAAGTTAAATGTTAAAAAAAATTGAGAATGTATTCTCCTACAAGATACTTAGCAAAATTACACTGAATGTAATATCTTTAGTAAATAGTAAAAATATCAAAAACTGAGGGGAAATATGCTCATGGTAAGTGGGCTCTATAACTTGACAAGTAACATCATCCAGTAATGTAACACCAGCACCTCCTCATCTGCCCTTCTTTTATCGGTGCCTCTTCTTAGGTGCTGCATCAAGGAACTTAAGTCCACCTGAGAGTTAGTCCAACCCGCTGTGTTTTTAGACGGCGTCTCTGGATCACCGTTGGTACAGGGGGAGGATGTCACCACGTCCACAGGTCCTAATGTAATTTTGTCACTAAATTCTGACTTCCTATCTACTGGGTTCAGGGATGATAAATTCTCCATCATGGATAAACCTTCCATTTGGCTGCCACTGACATCCTAGAAAGACAGTAACACTGAGAGTGAGTGAGAGAGAAGCTTAAATTTTAAAAAAAGTGATCACTTCTAAACAACATTTATGTCTATAAAGCTTCTTCCTTACATTAAAAAATTTACAACATTCCATCACTTAGCCTACAGTACACCTCTGCTATACATCATACATAAACATCACTGTTTGGTAGGTTGTGGTAATATAAAGCTGGTGTGTGTGTGTGTAATAATAATAACAATAATTAGCGATTTATTGAAAAAGTTTAACAGCCCGAAGGCTGAAAATATACATAGGACAGAAATGACTTTACATACAAAAACATGGGGTAGGTGGGTATTTTAACAAAAGCTTTAATTACTAAAAGGAGAAGAGCAGCCGAACTGAACATACAAATTATAGTTTACAGTTGATGGCCCGGCTGGTATCTTGCCCACTGTGTGAGGTCATGTAGGCCTGGTGGAATAATGTTCAGAGATGTTGAAGAAGGACCTATGAATGGTATGGCACCTATCCTGATGTTGATATGAAGGATCTCACATGGTCGATGGTAAGGTCATGTAGAGTAATCGTCATCAGGTATTGATGTGAAGGACCAATGGAGACTGGGTGGACAGTTCACTTGTTAAGTGGTGTGTTATTCTGAATGTTGAGTTGACACGGTTGTTCCCAATGAACTGAACACTATACTGCCTGGTCAACATAGTGTCATTTGTGCGCCTCAATGTTGGATTATGGTTCTTGCTAGTACTGTCTAGTGCTGAATTCACTGGCTTAAACACTGTTCAACACAAACCCCACTCCTTTCCAAAACGAAATTGTTAATTTTGATGGGATTATGTTGATATCCCTGTGGGGAGGAGGGGTCAAAGAGAAGGACTTGGGGAATAGGCCAACATTGGCCAGGGCAACTGACACAGCAGGCACCTAATAGATCTTCCCTCCAGTGTGTGTGTGTGTGTGTGTGTGTGTGTGTGTGTGTGTGTGTGTGTGTGTGTGTGTGTGTGTGTGGGTGTGTGTGTGTGTGTGTGTGTGTGTGTGTGTGTGTGTGTGTGTGTGTGTGTGTGTGTGTGTGTGTGTGTGTGTGTGTGTGAGATTAATCTTCAAATGATCCTAATATTACTTCAGCAAGTAGTCTTACCTTGGATTTCATATCTAATAAAAATTCCAACTCTCTATCTTGCTCTCGGTTCTTCTCGTCAAACTGATCCAAATACGCCAACAGCTGCACATCCGTACACTCAGCAGAATCCCAACGGTGCCCTGAAGATGGAGTTGGTGGTTGGTTGCTTTGTAACTCCTCCAGGAACTGCTTCACCTATGAAAACAATCTTATAAACATATATGTCAATATCTTATGAAAATCATCTATCTATCCAACATCTTCACTTGTGAGGTGGTAGGGAAACCTCAAAAGTGGAGTATGGTGTTGGAAAGTAGCAAAGACAACTGAAGACAAATACTGAAATAACAACTGCACTTTTATAAAATATTTACAAGACAAATTACATAAAGCTGCCATCACACTAGAGCAGGGGTCCACAGGTGTACTAAACTAACGTAAGTCAGCACTGCGCTCTACAGAATTGAGTGTAAAATCAGAAATGCAGGACTATATTTCATTGTCAGAAAATTTGAATAAACAACACCAATATATAAGGCTAAACATAGCTTTCATTTTCAGCATATGTATACATATTCTGCAGTGAAATAATATCACTATTTAGCGCATTTTTTTCCCAGCTGAGAAAAGATGCCCCGCCCCCTCCTCAAGAGTTACATCTGATTGGCTATTGAAAACCTGTCCGATTTTGTCCTTAGTAATGAAGTACAGTCATGCGCCGGTTAACGCCCTAGAAACGTTCTTGGAAACGTGATGTTAACCGAAATGGACGTTGTCCGATCATCACATAAACTTTGTATTTATACTTATGTGTATGTGGAATACTATATACGTACATATACACTTTTACTCTTAAATCACAACTGTAATGTGATACAGGTGATTAATTTTTATCTCTTGTGCAAAATACACGAAGTTTATATTAAAATTATTCACTGTTTTACAAGACTACAAGGATGGAGAGAGAGGCTGAGCGAGCGAGGGGCGGGGGAGGGGAGAGGCATGATGACAGTACAGGCCCAGGTCTAACGTA